ATTCGTCGAGTTGGAGGGTCGTAAAAAGGTGGGTGTACATGATGTCCACCGAGCTTCCGCCGTCGACCAGGATGCGTCTGACGTCGAAGTTTGCCATCTGTGCCCGTATCAGTATGGGGATGTTTGAGTTGGGGGAGCCCCCGGGAAGCTCCTCGAGGTAGAAGGTGATCGGGTTGGATCGGCCACGAAATTTGTCGAGGGTGCTCATTTTGCCAGAGTTGCTGGTGATGAGTTCCTCGAAATTTCTCTTTACCAATTCTACGGATAGGTTCCTCGGGGATCCGTCGGAGATGACCATGGTCTTCAGAACCCATCGACTAGTGGGGCGCACAGGCTCGTCAGGAAGATCAGCTCCGTCGGGAAGGCCAAATTCTCTGTGCGCGAACCAATCCTCAGGTCGGCTGACGCAGAGGGCAACCTGCAGACCGTTGTCACCGTCAGAAGAGGGGAGGTCTTCGACTCTCTTGGCCTCGGGGGCGTTTTGTCTTGGAGATTCTCCTCCCCGGGTGTATCTCTTCAGGTGGCCATCCTTGATAAGGATTTCGATCGCGTTCTTGAGGTGGATGCAGTCTTCTGTAACGTGCCTGTGGCTTTTATGGAAGCGGCAGAACTTCGATTTGTCCATGTTGGGCTTGAGGGGTGTCGGCCTGGGGAAGCGGACACCTCCCTGAACAAACTCCGTTTTGGCGCATTCGGCCAGTATGCACTTGCGGGAAGCGACTAGGGCCGTGTACTCCGTGAACTGGCCGGCTGGACTGTGCTGCTCGCGTTGTTCGCGGGGACGATCCTCCCGTTGGTGATCTCCTCCGTGCTGGTGGCTCGAGGCTCCATCCTCTCGGGGCCCGCGGGGGGTCTCTCGGTCTTGTGTGTCCCGGGAGAAGTTGACCGCTTGAGTCTCCTCAAACCGGATGTAATGCGCGGCTCTGTCGAGGAAGTCTTGTAGAGAGGCTGGTCGGTGTATGGCCACAGCTTCGTAGAACTTAGAGTCTCGGTGCAGGCCTTGCTCCATCTAGTAACACTTCATCTCGTCTGTCGTCGTTACCTGTACTGCCTCCCGTGTGAACCTTTCGATGTACTTCCGGAGGGGCTCGTCGGGAGCCTGGATTATGGCGCCCAGCACGACTTCCGTCTTCGGATGGCGTTTGGATTCCGTGAAGTGTCTCGAAAAGAGGTCCTTCAAGACCCTCCATGACGTGACCGACTCTGGCTCCAGGATCTTGTACCATGTCATGGCACCTTTCCTCAGTGTCGTCGGGAATAGTCTGCATTTGGTAGCTCCCCGGACATTTCGGTAGTCGAGCATGACCTCGATGTCTTCCAGGTGGTCGTCCGGGTCGGAGGTACCATTGTACGTCGAGAGCGCTGAGGGCTTTTCCATCCCGTGGGGGATGGGAGCAACCATGATCTCTCGGGACAAGAGGGTCTTGTAGTCGTCCTCGTCACTGAGAGTTGGTGATCGAGGGGGTGATGGCCCTGGTGGCGGAGGTGCTTGATTTCGCGCCCTCGGCCTCCTGACCGGGGGTTCGACCCTCGGAGGTCTGGTCGGAGGATCCCCTCTAGTTGGCCGTTGCTCCCGGACTTGTCTCGTCGGGGACCTAGTCCGCTCTCACACTACTTCGGGTTGGGGCCTCTCCAACCGGGGTCGTCGACTCCTGGGGCGAGGCGATGGACTCCTCGAATTCTCGTTTTGGTCTTCCCGCGGAGGGGACCTCGGAGGGACTTCGTGTTCTAGTGCGCCAATTCGTGCGTTCTGTTGGAACAACAGCTGATTTGTTTGGTTGATGGCCGCGAAGAGGGCGGCCACTGTCGGGTCCGCTCTGGCCGGGACGGGGATGGGTTGGAACGCCGCTGGGCTCCTTGGTCGGAGAACAATCTGGTGTGCAGCTTCCGCGGACGAGGGAGAGGCAGTCTGGCCGTCCCTCTCGTCGGTCTCCGGAGGTTGGGACGTCTCTGTTTGCTTGCCGTTGTTCGCAGCGGGAGCGAGGATGAGGTCGTGAATAACATCGTCGTGGAGTGGGCTAGCCACGATCGCGGAATGTTGTTGAAAACTTTGGTTCTCTGCTCGGAGGAACGGGGAAGTTTTATTTTCCCACAGACGGCGCCACTGATTTGTCCTGATCAGAAGGGGATCGCTGGCTGCCACGCGTCTTCGACTTGCTGCCTGTTCACCGGTGTTGAAGAAGAGGAAGGGGGTGTACCGACAAGACACTCCGATGCTAAAGTAAGCGTACGGGCAGAGTGATCACAAGTACAGAAAAGTGGTAAGGAATGAATTACCTGACCCTCTTGTGAAAGAGGGTATTTATAGAGAGACCCCAGCGCTGGGCCAACGGTCACTTGTGTTGGGCTGGATTGCCAGGTCCGACCCAGGTGACTGCTAGGGCTTACGTGGCGTAGTGAAGACCAGGACGTGGTCTTCGCCCCAGTTCAATTGTTCCATGATCTCTGGAAAGTGGGTTTGACCTGCTCTTTCGGAGGTGGGTAGTTGGTTGGTGACGTGTCCCCGCGGAAGGGGGCACGTGGAGAACGTGTGAAGGACACGTTGTCCTGCCCGACAGGGGAGCAGGTTCTGCCCGCGGAGGGGCAGGTTCTTCCCGCGGAGAGGGCAGTGTCTGGTCGATGGGGGAGTCTTATGCTCGACACAGATGAGGAAGGTTCTGCCCGCGGAGGGACACTACCTGCCCGCCGGGGACTCTGTGCTCGACGGCTGTGGCCCAAACTGGATTTGGCATGGCAGAATATTATTGGGTTGGGCCTGTCTGGTCAAGTCGGGGCCAGGCCAGAACAACTACTATTTGCAATCAAATAAAACGAATGTTAATATCAATCCCAAATAATGATAATCATTTTTTTTAAACTTTATTTAATTTGAGTAGTATTTAAAAAATCTTAATTGGAATTTGATTTCAGCAATGGTTCAAGATTAAATCAAAATAATTTAAATCTTAAATTTATAATCATATATTAATGATAAATAATTGAGTTCTAAATCATATAATTAAACTCTTATACTAAATGTAAGCGGAAATATTCAATGATCAATTATATGAAATTAGAAAATTAATACTTACTTGTTGAAGTCATGATTCAGAATCTCGAAAGGATGAATAACTTGATCTTTCTCTTTCTCTGTATCTTACACTCTCGTTCACAACTCTCAATGGGACAAGTTGTGGAGCCGTCAATTATGTTTCTGATTCTTGTGATTACAGAGCGAATCTAGCCGTATAATATATATAACTCTAGTCACTATTCATTATGGGCTCAAGATTAAAACTCACATTTTTACCCACACCAATCAGATTTTAAATACTTAATCTTTAATTATAAAAGAGGTCACTTAATTAATAACAGAGATTATATATACACCTCATCAGAATCACATTAACTCGTTTTATACAAACTAAACAATAATTGATTGTAGCACATAAAAAAATTAAATAAATCTAACACGCAATAGACATGAGTGGAAAAAGTCATATTTCTTTTGGATTTTGGATAAACTAAATAAAATTGAAAAATATACTTATTTATGATAAACCTTCTACTATGGATGTCTACATTTTTAGTTCAAACACACTAGATGCTGCCTCCAAACTAGACCTAAATACTAATGAATTGCCAACACGTTAATTATTCCAGCAACATTATTTTCAACTGCATAATGATATATGACTCTTATGTATTTGAAATAGAGGAGTTCATGAATGATTAAGGTTGATAACCAATTCATAACCATAAATAATATATATATATATATATATATATATATATATATATATATATATATATATATATATATATATATATATATATATATATATATATATATATATATATATATATATATATATATATATATATATATATATATATATATATATATATATATATATATATATATATATATATATATATATATATATATATGTTATAACCGGTTATTAAAATCAATTTTCATAATCGATTTTTATTTTTTAAAATGGTTATAAACCGGTTATATCCATAACCAATTTTATAATTAGTTTTGAATTAATTTTATTTTAAAATTGATTTTTTCAAAATCATAATATTTTTTTAAAAAAAATATTGATGTTCAAAAAAAAACAATAGTTATTTTAAAATTTTTATTTACTGAAAAAAATTAAAACAATATTTTTTTTTAAAATAAAAAAAAAAAATTTTGAAAATTTTTTTTTCAGTTTTTTTTAATTAAAAGAATTAATTAATTTAGAAATATATCCAAAATATGAATTTGGTTAAATCATATTAAAAATATATCCAAAATATGAATTTGGTTAAAACTATATTAATAATTAACTGATTTTTAATAACCGAATTTAGATATGAATATGAATTATTTAAATAATCAATTTATTTAAACACTCCTAACTTGAAATATTAAAATATAGTTAAATATAATTTATATGCTTCAATTAATGTTGGGAACTTGGGTACCTTTGGATCAAGATGCCTTAAACCATATTCTTGAACACTTGTTCACGCTTTCTATTCTATGCATGTTGGACCATCATTAAGATTTCAAATTTACAACACTCCAAAACATTGGTATAACTGATTTTATTATATGCCATCCATGTTTCCTTCATTTCTTTCCAAAGAACAATATTCTCTTTTGTCGTGAGGCTAAAGAACCAATGGCTAAGGAAACTATTTCTATAGAACATTAGTTTGTATAACTCGTACAAATCCACGTGTTTGAAAAAATAATACTTGTCTATTAAGGAAGGAATATTAGATAAAGCATAAAGGAAAAAGCTAAATTAGGTTTCATAAGAAACAACCACATTTTTTTTTATAGAAAGTGAACAAACTCATTAACTGTGCTTATTGCAGCTAGTTCATCAAAATCAAAGCAACTAAATAGTATTTCACATACATAAAATAGATATGAAAGGTTCTAACCCATCTTATAAAGAAGAAAATTATTCTTAAAATAGACAGACAGATAAACAGATAGAACAATGCTTCTATGATACTCATAAACTGCGGCCGAGTTTGTTACGTATCTTACTTATATAATCAGAAGCCAAACCGTCAACACAAAGCTCTTTCTTTGATTTAACTTCATGAAGTCTATTCTCTTTATGAATCATATATTCAGTTGAATCATGGCTTCCAACTGACTTGATAAGATATGTAGGGTTTGCGCGGCTCTGCGGCTGTTGTGACCTTCTGGTACTTGCAGGAAATTGTTGATTGGAAACTAATTTTTCCTTGTTAGTTTCATTATCAGAATAATCTGACTCTGAAAAACTATCTTTAGCCTTCCCTGATTTTCTAGTAGTAGAAACTCCAAGGGTTGTTTGTGCAATGGAGAAAGAGGATAGCCTTAAGATATTTACTACAACCTGCATTGATTGCTCACAAAGAGATTTCTCACTCTTGGAGTTTTCTCTATGATCCATGCTGTTGTTGGTTATTGGTTGCAATGTATATAAAAGGGAAACAAGATGTATTTATAATGATAAGATATATCTATATGTATAGATGGAGAATTAGTGGAGGATCCCTTGCTGGTTGAGATAAACGAAGATTCTTTTGCAAAGAATAGAGCCCACATAATTAAAAAATAGAATCTTATAATAAACTGGTTGTCATCAATTCCACATGTGAAAGCATTTAGGCATGCCGACCTACCTTTGGTTGTATATAAAACAGAAGTAATTACCATTCTCGTTTGCAACCTTCTCTCTGAGAACTTCTTTTCATGCAAAAAGTTCATTCTTTACAAAGGTTATAGAAAAGAGTAAGTTTTAAAAACTTAAATTTATTAAGGACAGAATCTAATAGATTTTCATGTATTAAGTTTCTTAAATATAAATTATAAGAAGAGATGGTTTGGGATGGTGTCGGAGAGAAATTTACCGGCAAAGTTAAGAATATGAAGGTTGGTGAGGTTTAGAAGCGAGGGAGGGATGTTACTGGAGAGAGATTTTGTTGTGAAGATAAATGGCGCGGAAGAAGAGACATTGAAAAAGAGAGGAAGGTATTGAGGAGATGGGGTTGTTGGAATGGAGATTTAGTTTACAGAGTTGTGTGAGATTGGAGAGTGATGAAAAGATGGAGCCAGAGAGTTGAAGACGAGACGAGCAGATTTGGTGGACTGTTGGGGTACAATAACTCATTTTCTAGAAAACAAAATTCACAATAAAATGGAGGTTAAAGATGATGCTGGTGAAAATTAGTAATTGTCAAATTGTTTGAAAAAAATTGTGAAGTCATCGTTCTAGTAGATTTATGTTAAGTGGAATAAACGATATAGACGAAAAATAAGGATGAAAATTTTTATAAGAACAAGAATTGTTCTGGAACTAAAACTAAATTTTAGGATATTTATATGTAACATATTTAACCCAAAATTAAAGGCAAAATTACTATATTAGTCATTTAAGTTATTTTAAAATATCAAATTAGTTTTTAAGTTTTTTTATAATGCTTTGATCCCTTTTTAAAAATCTTCGTTATAATAAATTGCAAACTCATATATGATTTGAACTGATTTTTCGCGCTGATCACGAATATGCAATCAAATTTATCAAACAAATTACTTTTCATGAGAATCAGGTAAAAATGGACAAAATACATAAGGAAAAATCATTGATCTGACCAAAATACACAATCAAACACAAAACTAATTACATATTCGTGATCAGCGCGAAAAACCAATTCAAATGGTATATGAGTTTGTAATTTATTGTAACGGAGATTTTTAAAAAAAGACCAAAGTGTTACAAAAAAAACTTAAGGAACTAACTTGATATTTTAAAATAACTTAAAAGACCTAGACAGTAGTTTTGCCAAAATTAAATTAGAAAATAGACGTGTGTAAAAAATTTGTATTTGCTAAAAGTATAATACGTGACTACTCTTTCTTAGGTAGGGTTGTCAAAGATTTTCAGGATTATTGTGATGTAAGTTCACGCGGTTTTGTAAATAGTATTTTGTGTGGTGAATTGGATCTCCCCTCCAACCACAAGGTTGGGGGTATTTATAAAAAATTTGTGGATATGAACCTTAAGCTTAGAAGAATAATAAATGCTCTCATTAATATGGGAAGTGGGCAGTCCACTCCCTATATTTTAGACGAATGTAATATTCTCCTCTTAAGTCCCCTCCAAACTAAATTGTTGTGGACTGGGACACGAAACTTTCCACAATCTCACGAATCAGGCGAATCATCAAGAAAATGGGCGAGATAGTCGAGAAATGGGTGGTTAAGGAATGTCTGGTGTGGGCGACATGCCAACTAGCTCGTTGTGAGAGAACTCTAACCCCTTTTCTAAGAGGGGTCGTTATACTTATAGCGATACAGAGTACCTCAAAAATAAGGTCTTTATAAAAGGCAAAGTGATTTAGTTTGATCTCCTTAGTTAAGTCGTTATGGTAAGACCATATGTTATATCTCTAAAGCAATACTTTATGTTGAGTCTCTCAGGCGAGATTTTATGTTGAGTTCCTTATAGAAGACATTATGCTAAGCCCTTATAGAGAGACTTATGTTGAGTCCCTCATGCAAGAATTTATGTTGTATCTATCATGATAGGCCTTATGTTTAGTCCCTCAAGCGTGACTATATATTGAGTCTATTGTGAGACTCTATGTGGAGTCCCTCGGGCGATACTTTATGTTGGGTCCCTCTAACGAGACTCTATGTTGAGTCCCTCAGGCAAGGTTATATGTTGAGTCTCTCAGGAAAGACTTTATATTGAGTCCATCAGGAGAGACTCTCTATTGAGTCTCTCAGTTAAAACTTTATATTGAGTACCTCAGGCGAGACTTTATGTTGAGTCTCTCAAGAGAGAATTTGTGTTGACCTCAAGCATGATTTTATGTTGAGTCCCTCAGACGAGACTTTATGTTGACGATTTACGCTCCACGGGAGATGTTCCCATGTAAATTTAGTATTTATATTGCCCTTGGGGGCAATAGGGATCTTCCAGTGGATTTTGGTCATTTAGATCATCTTTTAAGGCAATAAGGATCTCAGTATGGAAGTCTAGCATTTAGATTGTCTTTTAAGGCGACAAGGATCTTCGCTTAGAAGTCCATCATTTAGATTGACTAAGGAACAAAATAATTTGTTGTTAATAACAATAAAAAAATTTCAAAAGAGATCTATATGTCGGCATGCCAATCGCTTTTTAATTAAACAAATAACTGGAAAAAATTAACTATAATAATATCTCTAGTTAACTGAGTTCCATGTTATGAGGAAAAGTCGTTCATCTAGCTCATCGAGCTTGTAAGCCCCGTGAGGTAATTTCAGATATATGTGATATGGCACTTCCTGGTTGGGTTGTAGTTTCTCTGTTAGACGGGTACACCAATTTGTCTAAGTTCTAGGTCCCCCTCATGCATTCCTCTTATAACCACCTTCGAGTTGTACCTTATAGTCTCCCTTTGCTTCGGAGAATTCCCTAGTATGGGAAACATCTCTCTTATCGTCAATTAGGTCAGCTTAGCATATTAGCACTTTCCTTGTTTTTTTTGCATTAACTTGAGAGTGTCACCAAGTTGGCATGTCGATTTTAACAGGTAGCATGGTGTTCATTTTGTATACCATTGTAAATGGAGTCTCTTTAGTGGTTGAATGAGGGGATATATGATACTACCACAACATTGTGTAAACTTGTTTAGCCCTAAGTCCCTTGGTGTCATCTAATTTCTTATTTAACCTCTTTAATATTGCCTTGTTTGTTGATTCAGCTTGTCTGTTTGCCTATAAATGGACAACTGAAATAAACTTTCTTTGCATTCCTAGGTTGTTATAGAAATTGACTACTGTAGAGCTAGAAAAGTGTGTTTCATTATCTAAAATGATAACACCCAATAAACTAAACCTGCACATGAGTCACTGCTAATAGAAATGGCGGACCCTTTCTATTGTTTTCTTAGAAACAACCTTAGCTTCTATCCATTTTGTAAAATAATCTATTCCAGCAATAAAAACTTTAGCTTGCAAAGTGCTAGTGGGAAAGGATTCAGAATGTCCACGCCCACTTGATAGAATAGCCAATGCATCATGACAAAGTGGAGGAGCTCAATTATACATCATAATATGTTCATGTTGTATACCATTCCAAATGAACATCGCACAATTATACATCATAGTGGGCCAATAATATTATGTTCTTAGCAACTTGTGGGCCAGAGCTCATGCACCAATGTGACTACCTCGAGAACCCTAGTGCGCCTCAACAATGACTAGGGAGACTTCATGTTCCCATAGGAATCTTAACATGAGGGAGACCATTCTCATTTTGTAAAGTTTTCGTGACATCATGGTGTACTTTGTTGCGTGTTTTCAAATCTTCTTCGCATCTAACTTGTTATGTGGTAGTTCATTTGATTGTGGATATTGTATTATGGGCATCATGTTGGTATTCTGGGCGATTTCAAGACCATTGGTTTCACCTACCTTGATACTTGGGACGACGAGAGTTTCTTGAACTATTGTGCATTTGTGCTCTATTCTTTTTGTGGTGGAGAATTTGGAAAGAATGACTGCCCTGAAATTTTGTTCCATAGGCACTTAGATTATCTCGAAAGCTTTGAGATTTTTTTATAAGTCACGTACCTTTTTCGGATTATTTGATAAGTTGGGGCTCCTTCGCCTGATATTCGCAGGATACCTGATTTACTACCAATTAGGGACATTTTTTGCCTTTAGATTCGATGCGCGCATTTCGAGGGTGTTGGCTATACTGACAATGAGGGCTTCATACTCGGTCTGATTGTTGCTAGCCTTGAATTCAAACTCTAGCGTCTGCTCGATTAACAGGTAGTCTATTCCTTCAACTATTATTGAAACATTGCTTCCCTTTAAGTTAAAAGTGACATTTACTAATAGTGTTCACATGGGAGAGGAGTAGCCTCATTGTCTAGCGGCTAACTCAATTCCGCCATAAAATCAGCCAGTATATGTGTTTTGATTCTTCCTCTATGTATATACTAGATAGTATAGTCAAATTGTTCAACCGACCAAGACAACATCCTTCCAAATAAATCTGGATTTTTCATGACCTATCAAATGAGATATTTGGTTTTTACCATTATCAAATTCCCTTTAAATTAGGGTATGAGTTTCCTTGTTGTTATCACAACCGCCAAATCAACCTTTTCAATTTTCTGATATCATGCCTCAACACCCTTAAACACCTTGCTCATAAAATAAACATGTTTCTCAGCTTTATCTGTCTTTTGGACGAGCACTAAACTCATCTCATAGTTAGTAACAAACACATAGACGTATAAGAGTGAACATATTATTGGATGTGTCAGAATGGGCAGTAATGCCATAAATTCCTTTAGGTTTGAGAATGAATTATCGCATTTAGTCGTAAAGTAATGCCATAAATTCCTTTAGGTTTGAGAATGAATTCTCGCATTTGCTCGTAATGCTCAG